CATTGATTCATTCGCAGACAAATTTTGGTATGGAATAGATTCTAATGTTTTATATTTAACATTTCCTCCGTTGACTCGTCATAAATCTCAAAAATCTCTGAATGGTGTAGAATTAAGTCACACTGCAGATTGGCCCCTATTTCTTAGAATCCCTCAGTTCTTGCAGTCGCAGAGAATTAATAATTTTATTTTCAAGATGTAGCATTATAGTTCCATATCCTGTTCCCAAAATTTCCCCGTCGGGGTGCCTATACAGGACGTGGTTCCCTACGACTCCTACATGTCAAGATTGGCTTCCTTATTACTGTCCACTTCTAGTCTCTAATAAGACGTATAGAATTCTTGTGTATTGCATTAAAACAGCGACGATAAAACAGTATAACAATAGACGATAAAACAGTAAACTGGTTGAGGTACGTTTCGTTTTTTGACGACACGAGAGTCTGGAGTCGAGTGCCAATTTTGATAACGAAAACGTGGCAAGCGGGACACGAGGTCACATGCCCTGGAGTTAGATGTCGCTATAAGCCTATACTATAAAACTCGAATAGTGAGTAACAAAGAATTTCCATGTAGGCCCTGAGGCTTTCAAAAGGAAAACTGAATCTAGTGCGAACTGCCCCTATATCTTTTGAATACTATCATCAATCCCAATTGTTTTGATTAAATTACGTTAATTTATAAAATAGTGGGCAAACACACATCGAAAAGAGAATTTACAAAGCGTATTGAAAAAGAGAAATACCTAAACAAAAATAATAATGAATATGTAAACCATAAAATTTCATCTCCAATATTCCATCTTTGTATGCCAGTCAAGTAAGAAGTTCCTGCTTTCGCGTACACAACTAAATTTCACATTCATTGCAAATCAGTAAGGTTGAACTGTAAAAATAACATAACAGGGGTTGGCGCAAGATAAAACACGTGAATGAAATGAGAAAGATAACATAATGAAAAGTGAATATAAAGTGTAGTTGTGGAAATATGTATGCAAAGGTTCGGGTGAAAAAATGTGAGAGACAAATCGTATCTTGTGGTGACGACGGATTTTGCTGTTTTTGATGACAGATACTTTCCGTGTTATTAAAAGATAAAACGTTTTTAATGACGTGAATCACAACGAGGTCTTGTGGTAGATATATATTTCTAATTAAAACTAAAGTATTTCAACCTGCCGTACAAATTTCAAATTTGCTTGCGCTCTGTGCGGGCCCACAAAATCTGCACGGAGCATTTTACTGAGGGGATCAAGCAGGTCGAATACGTCGTGGATAAAGTGCATCAATAATTAATTTTTGAAATAAAATTAATATTATTATACAATATTGGGTTTAAACTGTATTAGTCTACGTAAAAAATTGTTGAACTTACTCTTGATTCGCAAGATGAGAACTTAATGAAGAAGCGGTAGGTTCTTGTCTCTGAACATTTCTTTGTTCAAAATATGCTTGTAATGATTTATAAGTCGTGAATATTGCTTTGACCGCGGATAAGGTTGAACTTGTTTTGGCAATCACAGTCATACGTAAACCTCTTTCTTGCGTGATTGCAATGCATTGCTGTAGACCGGATCTGCGAACAGAGGCCTTGGTAAAATGAGGCGTTACTTAAATTTAAGACATTTGAATGGTATTGTTGCGTGTCATTTTCCATTTGTTCACCAGCTTACTTAAATTAAATTCATTAGATGATCCAGTTGTTTCATTCCATCATCCTCAGCGTAAACCAATTCCAAACGGTGTGCCACACAATGCTGCCTAACGAGCGATATTGCACAATTTGGCTCCTAAAAATAATCATTTGGAAAACCAGTAAAACGAATTCACATTCAGTCCTGTTTAATCTGCTTAGTTTCTATTTTTCAACTACGCCATGGCTACGGCCAATTGTGACAGCTGCTCTATCCGTTGTCAGCATAACCGTATGCCGAATTGATACTTTGTTTTTAGTATAATATTCAATAATTGTTCCCGCGATCGCGTCGCGATTCAGTTCCTCAAGCTCCAGCAAATCCAGATACCAAACTTGGATTTTCTCTTAAACAAAATAATTCAAATATATTGTCTATTTCGAATGCTAAGTAACAGCTACGCAGCCAGTGGGCCGCGTCGCATCTTTTGGGGATCGCTGTACTACAGGGAAAGATGTACATGAACGTACAGCAGCTTATCAAAATCTTTCCGTTCTCCCTCTTTTTTTTTTATCTGTAAAATTGAAATTTCCTTTGGTTGTCCTCCCACCTTTCTCTGCTCACGGAAACTATCAACCATAGATATGGATTGAGACTACTTCTTCTTTTCCGCCAGGGGATGATACAGCTGGGGCTGAATGATATTGACAATTGAAGAGGAAGCTTGTTAGAGGATACAAATATCTGTAATCTCGGAAAGCCAGAAAATGTCTCATCATTTAGTGATTTTGTAGCGATCCTACAATACACTAGGACCTATGCTGGTCAAGATATACGATTCTATAAGTAATGGCATTATCTGTGGTTCTGTACGTACCCGTATATTTTTAAATATTTACGTCTTCCCTATAGAAAGTAGAGATCGAACTTACTACATGTTTATCACGCTACGAGAGCATGGTAATGACTGAAACAGATTCCTGGATGCAAGCGCATCGAAGCATGTGATGCAAGTATGTTGTTTCCCTTCTTTGTGTTTTCGTGCTGCATACTCTACATCGGCGCTGTTTTGCTTCTTTTGACTGGGTATGTCACCGGCCATTGAGTCTTTCGTTCGCCAGTTAAATTATTTTTGCAGAATGAGTTTTTGACTCTTTGCTTGAACGAACATCAGCTAAAATATTAGCGATCACCATTTGTCTGTACTTAAGAAGTGTAACATTTCTACGTTCAGAGCATGGCGAGAATTTATAAATGATATAACTGTTAGTGACGCTTGTTTCAACTAGCCAGAAGAAGATTTTCTTCAACCATTTCACGAATTTTCCTTGAAGTTTTAATAACTGGTGTACTGATCTGCTAAATCTGCGCCTCCCATGAAGTTGTTATATAATTCAATTCATGAAGGTTTTTTTATGGTTTCCGATGAACCTCACAACTGTTTCTCTCGTTTCACAGTACGTCTATCAGTACTACAGTATTGCAATCGGCTTCTTGTCTTGTCACAGTTATTTCAATTCAACATATTTCACCACACCTTAACCTTATAGCTCGGGAGTAATGGCTTAGTCTGCCTTAATATCCTTTTTAAAAAATGGGTTAAAAAAGTTTGCCATCTGTGGCCTCTTGAAAGAAAAAGATAGAGATTAGCTATTGTTTGTACTTTGGCGTCACCCGTAATTAATTGGATGGCTGATAGAGCTTGTAATTATTTGGCGTACGGAGGATTTTTGATAGTTCTGACGGAAAGGGTCACTTTTAATAAACTAGAGCTAGCATTTCATAATTTTTAGTGAGAATGCTTTGGAATCTGTCGTTTAAAAAAATACCAAAAGTGATATTTTCACATTTTTCATCACACCGTATAACACACACGAAAAATGTAATATGAAATGTATAAAGTGAATGTGTGAAACTCGCGTTACCAATATCCGTCTCTGAGTTTTAAGTACTATTCGAACCAGAATACTGGTGGCACCACATCTTCTAAAAAATCATATTTAGTTAGCATCAAGTGCAACAGGAAGTCCTTGATGTAAAGAATCATTGTCTGTTTTTAAACGGGTCCTCTATTTGCTCGAGCTCGTGTAAATTGACTGATGTGTATTCATCCCGTATAAAATATTTCTTGAATTGCGGAATTTTGTAGTTAAATCCATCCACTCACTCGTACATTTCCAAGGCCTGTGAAAACGTAAAAACATTTAATGGCATATATTCAATCGATCATTGAGGTTTGTTGTTTATTGTTATTACTTACTTTTAAATTCACCTCCGTGTGTTTAGACACGCAGCAGTTTTGTTGGTTCATATTATCTTTTTTTTATTTCAATGTATTAGTAATAGAATAAGCTATTTAATTTTTTTTAATTATGCACTGTATGTATAACAATATGTATCTATGTATAACAATGAATGCACAAGAAAAAATAAATGATTCAAAATCAGTTGCTTATGAATAATACGGATTTAAGATGTGTAGGTATTACTACACCATGAAACTCTTCAAAGTAAACGTATAACAGAAACTCAATTATTGTATTCTTTGCATACTGTTTAAAAGCGGCAGGCGTTCATTAATGAACGGCATTTTGACGTTATTGTATCCTGTGCATACCGTCTTAGTAACAGTATAAAGGTTATCGAAATATCGGGGGTACCCCTTATCTAGAAATGCATCAAAGAGGTCACACATGACCCTAGATGCCAATCACGCTTCTTAAGCCCGTAGATCAGGGGTCGGCAACCTACGGCCCGCGTAGTAACAAAAACCGGCCCGCGACGCATTACTGAATTATAGTAACAAAACAGCCGTTTTAACGATTATATTTTTCACGTTGCACAATTCATTGCGAGACGCGTGTAGACTAAATTATATCATAATCTAATTATAAAAAGTATAAAATTCACAATTACTCGTTTAATGAGCCTATAATTTAATTATAATTAGACAAATAGTAACACGAGAATATCGGTTGGAAACCGAAGACTTATCGATCGAAACTGCAATTCGTGTAACATGTTCACAAGTTGAAAGGAATATATCATTTATTGCACAAGGGGCACAAAGCTCTGCGTGGTTAAGAAATAATAGCTCAAAACAATTCGTGTAAAATAAGACAAAAGCAATTAAGCCACAGTGCCTCACAAGAAATCGAGGATTTCCGTCAAGGCAAAAAACCTCTTTCTAGATCTCAGCAAATTACAAGAGATTGTCAAACCAGTTTCATTTTTCTTTTTAACGTTTTTAGCATATCCATCAGAAAATCTATATTACATGTAACCAAATTTGGTCTTTCTTTCACAATCTCCTGTAATTGTGATCTAGAAAAATGCTCTTTACCTTTAAGAAAACCCTCTACTTTTTCGTGGTAATACAACCACAGCCTATCAGATTGAGATATTATTCTCTTGCGAGGAACTGTAGTTTTAATTGCTTTTGTCCTCGGAGAATCTCGATCCGAACGAGATTTTCTTTTTCTCGGCGTTTGGTATTTTGAGGAGGTTGATGGTAGGTCCGATGTGTCTTCAGGTGTTTCGGAGTCAAGAGTCAGATTGTGTTTTGGAGGGTCCGTAAATTCCGGAGGTCGATGGTATATCAGAGGGGTCAGATTGTTTTTTCCGATAATTTTGTTTTCTCTGCCTTCAAGTTTTGAGCTATTATTTCTGAACCACGCAGAGCTGTGTGCCCCTTGTGCAGTATATAATAGTTTTTACGAGCTATTTCTACTGAATGGCCCAATGCCCTGGCCACATCTCTCTGCTGAGATTCAGGCATACTTGAGGCCAGGGTTTCGGTCATTTTTCTCATTAAAGTAATACTGATACTTTCGCCGAATACTTTTGCCAGTGCGGATCTGACGCACTTGTCGACCCGCATTTGTTTCTTGGAAGGGGTGCCTAATGCGTACTCTTTATCGTCTCTGTCTTTGATATTTTGAAACATGTTGACCAGCTAAAAATAGAAATGATTATCGATAGTTAAATATATTTTGTAGTATCGACAGTATTTTACATATATTTGAATATTAGGGTATACTTTGTAGAGTTGTGAGTCCATGGTTGAATATATCCTGTTGTTTAACGTTGTATTTCTTACCTTTAAAAACATTTCGTAGTCTTCTCGTGACATTGTGAGAAAACCTACTTCGTCTCTAATTTTTTGCTCTTCCACTATAATTTGTAACAATCTTTGGTCTTCATATTCCCTGGCCTGTTTGAGCTCGCCAACCTTCATACAGGAAAAGTAGCCAACTCTCCCGCCGCGTTCGAGGATATGGCAAGCTACAAACAGGCCAAGGCATTTGTTGTATGTTTTTTCCGAGACCGGTTGTACGTCGAGCTCTTTCATCGCCTCTTTATATTTCGGACCACTGAAATACATAAAAACAAGCGAATATGTTGAATTGTAACATAATTTTTTTATTTGCATCTGTACCAATTTGGCCTATTTAAAATGTTGAACATTGACACATCATACATTAGAATGTAAGTAAACAGAATTAACAGTTTCGCCAACAAAATTTTTAACTTTTGTGAATATTCGTCGAGTAATATGTTTCTGAAAAGTTATTTGAGAAATAAATTATTTTTTTGTAAATTGTAAAACTAGGTTAAGCATTTAAAAATGTATAATTAAAATTAAAAAAAAATGTATTGTTAATACTACCAAATAAATTTGTCACAATAAGGGGGATTTTGCAAAATCGATCATTTCGCAAACCTTAACAGATTAGGCTATGATAGAATTTAAATTTCATGTTTATTAATTTAGGAAATAATATAGTACTTACTCAATGACAGGTCCCAATAGTTACTCCATCTGTGCCTGGTCTGTCACGTTCTTTAGCGTATTTATCTGCTTCTTCTGTCTGCTAGCAGACGCGGAAGCCAAAGCTATCCCATCAAGGATCTTCTTGAAATCGACACCAGCTACTGTATAGCCATTAAACAGCGTCCAATTGCAGAAGTGTTTAATGGCTATTAGGTGGCGGTGTTTGAGGGCCGGAGATTTTTCGTTGTTGGTTCCAAGTATCTGGTGGATATTTAATGGAGTGACACCTTTGAAATAAACTTTCAGTTCGTTTACTGCATATTTCGCCATTTGGGGGTCCTTTGGTTTCTGGTTGAATATACCTTTTCGTGGACCCGCTTCATACTTTTGGGAGTACCTGAAAAGAAAGTACCATCAAAATATTTAGTTTCTTGTACGATAGGGATGTGTGTGTACTAATCATATGAATGTGCTTATGAAATAATGAACACGTATACTCACATCATAGTATATGGACTCTTGCGTAATATTTCCTAGTGTTTCATCCAACTCCTCTCCTTGTAATTTATGAACTGTCCTCAGATGTCGTCTCAAAGTCGCTGTCAAATTAACTTTATGGCAGATGGTGCATCTGGTATATATTTGTTAAAATCTATTGCGGCACCGGTTTGACGGTAAAGATATCTGTAGAATTGAATAAAATAAATATGATGTAATTATTTGCATACAAAACAGAATGACAGGAAGCAATAATAATAATAGTCAGGAAACGAAATCTGAATAGCCAAGAAGCGATAAAATGGATTTTAGCAATAATAATCGTCAAGAACGTCCAAAATGACATCGAAGACAAAGAATTCTTACTACAATATTTACCCCGAGTAAAATTCTCCCTATAACTCACCACTGTAAAATTTTTGCTCTCATTTTAGGGGTGGCTTCGCGATTTGTAGTCTATAATAACAAAGCTATTTCTAGACTAATTTTCGATTTGAAGATGTAAAATTATTATATACCTTTCTTCGGACTCGGGGACATTGTGTGCTTGTATTAGGTGTCTACGTTTCTGCCGCCGAAGTTTTTCGCCACAGTCGGGAAACATACAAACATAAAGTTTCTTTCCGGCTTCTAACGGTTGTTGTTCTTCTTCTTCCATTTCCTCTCTATATTTTTCTCCTTTTTCTTCTTCTCCTACTTCAACCTCTTCGGTTTCGGTTTTCTTCTTGACCTCCCTCTACCAGTACCACCAAAGGTGCCTTTTCCGCGAATGAATAATTTGGTATTCTTCTTCATCCGAAGTAGTGTCTAATTCAGGGGTCACCAACCTTTTCGAGGCCGAGGGCTACTTTCTGGGTACAGATTTATCCGCGGGCTACCAGTTCAATGTACACTTCTAAAAAGTCGCGGCTGTGTGGACATCGTGCTTAGCGTTAGGTTCGCAGGTTAGAATCCCATTGGATTGCTGGACCCCTTGCTGCCGTTGGGATGACTTCCTTCGCCATCAAGCCCATGCTTACGAAAACAAATAACTAACTAATCCCAACCCGACATGAAATGGCAACCGGACGAGAGGCCGTGGTTCGCATATGGTTAAGCCGTCTTATCTCAAGGATAAATATGTAAATCCCATCCTATTCTGAGTTTGTCAAAAATGTTGATTCACAAAGATAGGTTGAACGAAGCCCTGGCCACATCTCTCTGCTGAGATTCAGGCATACTTAAGGCCAGGGTTTCGGTCATTTTTCTCATTAAAGTAATACTGATACTTTCGCCGAATACTTTTGCCAGTGCGGATCTGACGCACTTGTCGACCCGCATTTGTTTCTTGGAAGAGGTGCCTAATGCGTACTCTTTATCGTCTCTGTCTTTGATATTTTGAAACATGTTGACCAGCTAAAAATAGAAATGATTATCGATAGTTAAATATATTTTGTAGTATGGACAGTATTTTACATATATTTGAATATTAGGGTATACTTTGTAGAGTTGTGAGTCCATGGTTGAATATATCCTGTTGTTAAAAACATTTCGTAGTCTTCTCGTGACATTGTGAGAAAACCTACTTCGTCTCTAATTTTTTGCTCTTCCACTATAATTTGTACCAATCTTTGGTCTTCATATTTCCTGGCCTGTTTGAGCTCGCCAACCTCCATACAGGAAAAGAAACCAACTCCCCCGTCGCGTTCGAGGATATGGCAAGCTACAAACAGGCCAAGGCATTTGTTGTATGTTTTTTCAAGGACCGGTTGTACGTCGAGCTCTTTCATCGCCTCTTTATATTTCGAACCACTGAAATACACAAAAACAAGCGAATATGTTGAATTGTAACATAATTTTTTTATTTGTATCTGTATCAATTTGGCCTATTTAAAATGTTGAACATTGACACATCATACATTAGAATGTAAGTAAACAGAATTAACAGTTTCGCCAACAAAATTTTTAACTTTTGTGAATATTCGTCGAGTAATATGTTTCTGAAAAGTTATTTGGGAAATAAATTATTTTTTTGTAAATTGTAAAACTAGGTTAAACATTTAAAAATGTCTAATTAAAATTTAAAAAAATGTTGTATTGTTAATACTACCAAATAAATTTGTCACAATAAGGGGAATTTTGCAAAATCGATCATTTCACAAACCTTAACAGATTGGGCTATGATAGAATTTGAATTTCATGTTTATTAATTTAGGAAATAATAAGTACTTACTCAATGACATGTCACAATAGTTTATCCATCCGTGCCTGGTCTGTCACGTTCTTTAGCAAAGTTTTCTGCTTCTTCTGTCTGCTAGCAGACGCCGAAGCCAAAGCTATCCCATCAATCAACCCTTCAATGATGGATAAATAAGCGCAATCACCACCGCCATTGTGAGTGAACGGGTTGATAAGATTACAAACCTCAAGCAGCAACGAACTCCAGATGTTCCGGAATTTCATCTTTCATCAGGTTTATATTCCGTGCTTTCCACCCCCAAATAAATCCCTTCATGAATTAGGTTGCAATGCCAAACCAATAGAATTAGATCGATGCATATCATTTGTTATATCGATTATACAAGCAATTGTACGTAAAAAATCACTCACAATTCCAGTTTCAATTTCCCCGTACTTTCGAACTTCAGCCAAGAGTTCTGGATTGAAATTATTTGCCGGATGCGAAATGTTTTTGAATAAACTATAATAAGGGGAGTCCATCGAGGTTTGGTGGAACAACTTTTGACAGATATAAATCATATCTTCACTTTCTCCAAACTTGAAAATGCCCACTGCTTCTGATCACCAATTCATCTTTCAGTCTTGTCCATCCTGCCCGCCAGAACGCGTAACGGTTTTGAGTTGGTGAAATATTTAATAACTTTTTATGACATTGAAGAAATCCATTACTTATAGGTAAAACATGTTTATTAAATATTTTCTCATCGTTCTTATTTTGTCTAAACTCCATAAGTTTCATTATCTTGAGTACGAACTTTATTGCCAGTTACATTACAGTAACTGCACATTTGTTTGCGTTTGTAACCCATTGTATGGAGTTAGCAAATACAAATGGCTCAATGTACTCAAAAATCTATATACTTTTTGTAAAACCAAGGCAAAAAACCTCTTTCTAGATCTCAGCAAATTACAAGAGATTGTCAAAACAGTTTCATTTTTCTTTTTAACGTTTTTAGCATATCCATCAGAAAATCTATATTACATGTAACCAAATTTGGTCTTTCCTTCACAATCTCCTGTAATTGTGATCTAGAAAGATGTTCTTTACCTTTAAGAAAACCCTCTACTTTTTCGTGGTAATACAACCACAGCCTATCAGATTGAGATATTATTCTCTTGCGAGGAACTGTAGTTTTAATTGCTTTTGTCCTCGGAGAATCTCGATCCGAACGAGATTTTCTTTTTCTCGGCGTTTGGTATTTTGAGGAGGTTGATGGTAGGTCCGATGTGTCTTCAGGTGTTTCGGAGTCGGAGTCAGATTGTGTTTCGGAGGGTCCGTAAATTCCGGAGGTCGATGGTATATCAGAGGGGTCAGATTGTTTTTTCCAATAATTTTGTATTCTCTGCCTTCAAGTTTTGAGCTAATATTTCTGAACCACGCAGAGCTGTGTGCCTCTTGTGCAGTAAATGATAGTTTTTACGAGCTATTTCTACTGAATGGCCCAATGCCCTGGCAACATCTCTCTGCTGAGATTCAGGCATACTTGAGGCCAGGGTTTCGGTCATTTTTCTCATTAAAGTAATACTGATACTTTCGCCGAATACTTTTGCCAGTGCGGATCTGACGCACTTGTCGACCCGCATTTGTTTCTTGGAAGGGGTGACTAATGCGTACTCTTTATCGTCTCTGTCTTTGATATTTTGAAACATGTTGACCAGCTAAAAATAAAAATGATTATTGATAGTTAAATATATTTTGTAGTATCGACAGTATTTTACATATATTTGAATATTAGGGTATACTTTGTAGAGTTGTGAGTCCATGGTTGAATATATCCTGTTATTTAAAGTTGTATGTACATATAAAATTATATTCCAATGGAAGCGAATGCATTTATGAAGTTTTCTTACCTTTAAAACATTTCGTAGTCTTCTCGTGACATTGTGAGAAACCCTACTTCGTCTATAATTTTTTGCTCTTCCACTATAATTTGTACCAATCTTTGGTCTTCATATTCCCTGGCCTGTTTGAGCTCGCCAACCTCCATACAGGAAAAGAAACCAACTCCCCCGCCGCGTTCGAGGATATGGCAAGCTACAAACAGGCCAAGGCATTTGTTGTATGTTTTTTCAAGGACCGGTTGTACGTCGAGCTCTTTCATCGCCTCTTTATATTTCGAACCACTGAAATACACAAAAACAAGCGAATATGTTGAATTGTAACATAATTTTTTTATTTGCATCTGTATCAATTTGGCCTATTTAAAATGTTGAACATTGACACATCATACATTAGAATGTAAGTAAACAGAATTAACAGTTTCGCCAACAAAATTTTTAACTTTTGTGAATATTCGTCGAGTAATATGTTTCTGAAAAGTTATTTGGGAAATAAATTATTTTTTTGTAAATTGTAAAACTAGGTTAAACATTTAAAAATGTATAATTAAAATTTAAAAAAATGTTGTATTGTTAATACTACCAAATAAATTCGTCACAATAAGGGGAATTTTGCAAAATCGATCATTTCACAAACCTTAACAGATTGGGCTATGATAAAATTTGAATTTCATGTTTATTAATTTAATATAGTACTTACTCAATGACAGGTCCCAATAGTTTATCCATCCGTGCCTGGTCTGTCACGTTCTTTAGCAAAGTTTTCTGCTTCTTCTGTCTGCTAGCAGACGCGGAAGCCAAAGCTATCCCATCAATCAACCCTTCAATGATGGA